TTTTGTCGGTCGTGGGGCTTGAACTCTGGGCCTGGGCTCTGTCCCTGAGCTCTTCAGCTCAAGGTGAGCGCTCTCCTGCTTGAGCCACAGCGCCACTTCCTCAGGGTCGGACTTTGTGGGCTGGTCTTTATCCCTCTGTTTCATTCTCTGCACTTTCCCAGTGAGGCTGGAGAGAAAGAAAGGCAAGGAAGTAGGAAGGAAACTCTCGCAGGTGGCAGGCAGCAAGGAGAGAAAGCAGAAGGGGCATGTTGGCAGCTGTAATGTCTGGTTTTGGGTTCCTGTTAATTGGCCGGATTTCTCATCGTGTGCAGACTCTTTGAGGGCCTCTCTGCCCGCTGCAGGATTGTTTACATTGTGATATTAAGCCGTAAGCCATTATTTCTGGTGCAACTGGGAGTTTTCATAAAGGACGCCACATGGGGCCTTGCGTGGGTTCTGCTTTTTTGGTTATCCGCGAACAGCTAGTGCCAGTTCTTCATTATCGACAGGGAGATCAGACACTTTAGTTCTTGGCAGCAAATGTTTCATCCAAGGTCAATTTCCCTCAAGCGCTCTGCACCATTTTAGTCCCTGCATGTCCAGGGAATGCAAATTAATTTGATGTGGGCTTTAGCCAAACTCAGCTAGGAAAGTAGACCTGATGCTTCCAACACCACACACATTGGTCAAGATCTGAATTCTATGATGTTTGAACAAGCACATGCCTCAAAGTTCACCTCAACTCTAATACATCTCAACTTGGAAGCCAACTTTAATGCAATATTATTTAAGTATCATTGCCATTATGTTTTATTGTACGTGGGGGGGAGGTGACAGAAGAGGTTGAGGATGCTTGCACATTTCACACTTTTGTTCAAGTATAAAAAGTCTTCCCATGCTTCTGGAAGACGGGGCAACATGGAAAACTCTAGGGGACATAGAGACATCTATAATCCCCTGTGCCAGAAATAATCACTGCGAATGTCTTATCTCTTTGCACACCTTGCTAAGGTTGTAGAACATCTCAAGATGGATTTGGAGACTGTGGTAAGGAAAAGATGCTTTCGTGGTTCTAACAGAATTACTGTGGGGGCTCTATACGGCCTCCCGGCTTGAGAGAAAGCAAGGTTCAGGGGCTCAGCGTCTTTCCAGGGGAGCCAGTGTTTGGGAAAAGGACTCCTAGATTTTCTTCTTTCACCACTTCCCATTGATTCCTCCTTCTCTCACAAAAAGGCAGGGCTGCTGGGAGGAGGGGGTGGGCGTCGGCGGGGAGTGACTGGACCAGGAGAGACCAAGTTCCCACACCGGAAGGCTTTCCCAGTAGAGCTCAAGTCAGTTCTCCAAACCCACCCACAGATTCAGTGCCACCACACCACATCTGATGTCAGGAGAGGTGGGTGGGGCTTCCCAGACCCTGTGGGTGCCAGTTCTAGGTGCGGTGCCTTCCTTGTTGTTAGGAGGCTTCCCACACCTGCTCCACATCTGTCCTCTTCATGGTCAGCCGGGGCCTCGCCCCTGGCCACGCACTTTGCACCTCCCCCCTTCCACTAGATCTCTTGGCGAAGACGCCCCAGCTCCCCCTGTGACAGCTAGGATTCCACGGGGGACCGTGGACCCCTGTGCTCATTGATTCTCCTTACCACCCAGGGTGAGCGCATGACCCCAGCCTGAGAGCCCGAGCTAGGACAATTAGAGATTCTCTGGGGTTCAAAATAGGAGGAAAGAAGCTGCTTTTCTTTTGGCAGCAAAATGGGGAAGCCGTGAACCCAGGACTGCAGTGATTGTGACTGTGCTGTGGATGAGGTAGAGCTGTGGTACGAGAGGATTAGCCCCAGACTCAGAGAGAGGTGGAGAGGTGGAAAGGTGAGGGAGGACAGAGTGGGAGAGTGGGTGGACAAGGAAGGGAAGAAATGGGAGAAAGTAGAGAAGAAGAATGAGGAGAGGAGAGAGGAGCAGAAGGAAAGGGGGTGGGCAGGTAGGCACTGGTCTAATGGTATGTTAGTCCATAGTTTTAATCTTCCTTCCCTGAAACTGGATTATCTCCCAGCATTTTGGTTTTCTGTTTCTTAAATTCTATAATTCCTGAAGAATTGATCTGCCTTTCCTCCCTCATTTTTTTTGGGGGGGGGGTTGGTTGTGGGGCTTGAACTCTGGGCTTGGGTGCTGTCCCTCAGCTCTTCAGCTCAAGGTGAGCGCGCTACCACTTGAGCCACAGCGCCACTTCCGGTTTTCTGGTGGTTCATTGGAGATAAGAGTCTCATAGACTTTCCTGCCTGGTCTGGCTTTGAATCCTGATCCTCAGATCTCAGCCTCCTGAGTAGCTAGGATGACAAGCGTGAACCACCAGTGCCTGGCTACTCCCCCAATTTTTTGTTTCAACAAATTAGATCTTTGACATTTGCAGACAAAAGAACCTAGCACACTAGAGCCAGTCCCTTCTACCCCCGCCACCCTTCCATTTTCTGCCTTCTGTGTTTCCTGCAGTTCTCTGGCTTCTCACACATCTTTATCTATGACTCAAAAGTCCCAAATTTCAAATTGTTTAAATAGGGATACAGGTGGACCCATTGCAACAATGAGATGTACAAGTTGTTATATCAAAAACGAACTTTACAACCTTGGTGGGGAGAGGAGGGGGGGAGAATTGGGTGGGGGGGAGGGGGGAGGAGGATTGGGTGGGGAGGCTGGGGGAGGATGGGAAGGAGAAACAAAGGAGAGGCTACAATGCTTGATAAGAAATGTACTCATTGTCTTGCCCATGTAATTGTAACCCTTCTGTACAGTATTTTCACAATTAAAAAAAAGTCCCAAGTTTCTTAAATTGTGCCCTCTAGGCCTCCATCCCTTTCTTTAGGCTGATCTCTCATTCATGGTGGCAGAGGGCAGTTAAAGCTACTGCATCCCAGCACGGTGCTGTGTCTTTAAGGCTCATTGATTAGTTTCTTCTAAACTTTTAGTATGATTTTTGTAATTGAGAAATGGCAAAGATAAGTCACTTTCCGTAAAAGAGGTGCCAGATCGGGTGGTTTAAAATAGGAGAATGCCTAATTAATACCAATGAACATATTCCCCATAAAATGGCATAAAACCATCTGTGTGTAGACTTGCTGGCTCTTCAGAACAAAGCTTGTGCCGTGGGTAAAGACCGGTCTGATCTGCTCAGTGAAGAATGCACAGTACTTCAAAGAGGCGCCAGGAGCTAGGCCCGGGGCCTCTGTCAGCCACCGTGGGACAGTCTCACCTAGGCCATGTTTGCAGGACGGCAGGTCAGGAAGGAATGGCACGTCGCCATTTTCCTAGGGAAGACCTCCCCTTCAAATGCTCTCTAGCCCTGACAGCCAGGCGCCACGTGCAAGTTCCCCTTCAACTCATGAATTTGACAACCACCAGTGCTCAGCAGAGATGGGGCTCTTGCCCATCAGCAGCCGAATCCAAATGAGGTCGGAGGGGCTGCAGAGCCCCTACCAAACACCGCTCCACTTCCTGACAACGCAGCCTCCTCCCGCTGTTCCCGGCCCTGACAGGTATCTATTTCCAACTCCTCCTAGGGCATGTGGTGACAGCTCCCTCCTTCATCTTTTGGCCTAGTTCCCAGGGAGACCTCCTTATGCTGTGTTTTATTCATGGTGTCTCCTAGGCTGGCTTCTCCATTGTAAAAAGGAATATGTATATATATGGTGGTGGGGGTAAGGACAGTAAATGAACTGGAAATAAAACCCAGGTGTCATAAGGAAAGCCATCCTGTTGTGCATGGAAAGTCTAGAGCTGAGTGTGAGATTTTTGAAGGAAAGCCTGCATTTTGGAAGAATGTTATTTATTTATTTATTTATTTTTTTAAGGCAAAGCCTTTGCAGAAGAAAACGCATGCAGTTATTCATACTGTTATTGGAGTGAGGAAGGAAGCAGGTCAGATCAACCCAAATAACCTTTGCTGGGAAACACTGGGGCCTGATAGATACCCGAATGGGAGAAGGGTTCAAAGGAGGAAGCCATCAAGGATATCCAACAGAAATATTCGTTCTGTGTCTCCCTAAAAGGTTTATTCACCATCAACCTCGCCATGGCCTTTCATGTGAGAATTACAGTTGACCTGCTGTATACACAGGCTCTGTATCTTTGGAGTCAGCCAAATATAGATCAAGAATATATAAAGCCAAGTGCCTTGGCTCACAATGGTAATCTTAGCGTCTCAGGAGACTGAGATCTAAGGATTGCAGCTCAAAGCTAGCCTGGACAGGCAAACTGGGGAGACTCTGATCTCCTATGAACCAGCAAAAAGCTGGAAATGGAGGTATAGTTCAATTGGTAGAGTTCTAGGCTTGAGTGAAAAAGGTAGAGTGCAGGACTCTGAGTTTAAGCCTGAGTACTGGCACCTGCGTGTGTGTGCACACACACACACACACACACAGAATAGTTGAAAATAAAATTACACCAGTACTGAGCATATATGGATACTCTTTCTTTTGTCATTATTCCACACATCATATGGCATGGCAACTGTTTACATAGCATTTATATTGTTCAGCTATAATAAGTCTTCTAGAGGTGATTTAAAGAATGTGGATGCATATGAAATACTATGCAAATTTGTATAAGGAATTTGAGCCTCCTCATATTTTGGTGTTCCCAGGACATCCTGGGATAAATTCCCATGTATATATGTGTATATATATATATATATATATATATATATACATATATATTGTATATATACATATATCTGTGTATATACACACATGCATGCATATACATACCTACACGTATGCATGTATATACATATACTTGCATACATATATACACACACACACATATGTACATCTGTGTTTATACACAAACACACACATTGAGGGACAGCTGTCAACTATGTGTATTTTTTTCTTCACTGCTTAAGCCTGTGCAGTAAAAAGATAATCATTATTCTTTCTCTGAAAGAAAACCATTGGCCAAGTACCGCAGAGCATAGAGATGATACCACGATATATCGTTACTACATGTGTATCCATCGCCCGCACGCGTAGTACCTTGAGCGTTATGGTCCTCTCCTGACGGGTGATGTTGACGCTGTGGGGCTGTCCATTGGCCATGTTCCTGTGGTCCACATCAGCATTGTACGGCTCTCGGGTGCCTCCCAGGTTGTACCGAATCTGCAAGCTTCCTAAGGAAGAATAGGAGAAGAAGCCCAGTGAGCTCTCTGCTCCAGCTTTCATTTCCATGTCACTTCCTCCGCTCTCGAGGCTGCTTCCCCCATCATCATCCAAGAACCCAGGGTTCCACCAGGGTTAACAGCCTTGGTCTCACACACGTTTACCACCTCCCAACAACTCATTATCGCAAAGCTGAAGACACAGTGCTATCGATATTCCGAGTTGGCATTGTGCCTGGAAGCTGGGAATGAGACCAGACATGCTATGGATGATGTATGATATCACATATTGACTATCTTATATACTGTATCATACATCGTACCACAGAGGTGCCTTAGGCCCCGAGAACACTAGTGTGTGAAATAAAAAAACAAATGCAGAGTTCAGCGAAGGTCACACTCCATCAGTAAACTGTCAAAGAATCATGAACATCCGATATTAAAAAGAAACATACTTAGCAAAAGATAAATACATGGGATTTTGAGGTAGCCTCATGGAGACCAGGAAAAGAAAGTAATGGATTTTCTCCTGGGTTAGAGACTCATCAAATGTAAATTGAAGGAAAAGATGCAGGTCCCAGGCCCTGACGTCTCCCCAGTGACAATTCACTTTGCTGCTTCGACTTTTTCTTTTTTCTCCTTGCTTCATTGCAGACATGACAAATAGTATGCAACAATCTAGGTCCTACTTTTTGCTAATTTTCATAGGATGCAAAACTTTTTATTTCTTATTTTGGAGTTTTAAAAGACATCAGTATGTCACCTCAAGTTTTTAAACTCCAATTGGAAAATTTCATACTCTTAAAAGCATTGGACAACTCAGAGCTTCAAAGTGGGGCAGAAAGTCTCTAACAAGAGTTTGACCAATCACACATCACTTAACAGATTCTTTGTTGCCTCTTTTTCATTTTCTGTCTAGAGGAAGAGGAAGAATACCTTGATTTTATGTTGTAAGGTAAAACATGTTCATCAAAACTGAGAACTTAAAAAAAAAAACAACCTTGTAATTCCCTACCATCTGGAAAGAACATTTTCACACACACACACACATATGCACATACATGCACACGCACATACACACAGCCTTGTCAATGTTACCCTTTGAATAGTCTAGCATTAGATACACCACTTAAAATGTAGCACTATGTTCCAGAGTTGAAACAAACCTTTGTGAGCATAATCAAGAATTAATTACATTTTCTATTTTTTTCCCTGCATGAAATTCAACCAGCTTTCACTGACATTTACCCACACATCTTGGTTCAGATTCTTTTGCTTAGAGCATTTCTACCAAACATGGTTGATTTTCAGCCCCTTGAATTCATCCATTCTCCACCTCAGCAGCCACGTTGCTCCCAGGAGAGATGTGCACATGTGCCAAACGCCTTCCACACCCATGTGACCCTCCACTCACCTCTCCATCTTCTGGGGCTGCTCTTGCTTTGGTCCCTATAACCTCTGGAGGGGCACTGGACACAGAATTGTGCTTCTCGGGGACTGAGCTCTACGCCTGGCTCCCAGAAGGCACTCTTGGATTTTCTTTTTTGCTCTTTCCTCCTCATTTTTGGAGAAACTTACGCTTACAGCCCCCAACAAGCCATCCTTCACCGTCTCTTTCCCACTCACACATAGTTGGATGGTAAACCTATTCAGTCTTAGGTTTGATTAAGGTACTTGGAACCCAAGTTTGTACACCTCCAACACACTTGAATCCCTGACTCATTCCACCCCTGTCCACCCAATAGTGAGCAGAACATGGACAAACCCAACCTTGATCTCTCTCAGAGAGCAGCCTAGCCCAGCCTCATACATGGCAAGGAGTCACATACTTCAGGCTTCTAGATATTCTTGCCACGAACTTTGCCCTTCTCTTCCATTTATTCTCCATGACCTGCATTCCTATTAGGAAACCCTCTGTCTATCTACAAATGGACCCTGAACCTTGCCATGACCAGCCTTATCTGAGTCCTATCCGAGTCTTTGGATGATTATGGTAGTTGTCACTCTAAACGACTTGTTTTTCTTAACCCAGCCTCCTCTTCCTTTCTGGTTCAATCTGTCTCCGGTCTCTGCCACACTGTTTCCATACAGTGGTCACAGTGACCCTCTGCCTAGAAGACACCCATGGCTTCCCAACTGACTCAGACATTTCACAAAACCTGATATCAGGTCAGGCTTTAATCAGGCTCATTCCGTCATCTCTGACCTCATCTCTCATTTCTCTCCTGCTGGTCCACGCCTCACCACTCCACCTGGGCCTCCTTGCTGTCTTCCTACTCCAAAGCCCCACAAGCTCCTGCCCCTAAACCTTGGTTCTGGGGTTCCTCTACCTGGGCTGCTCCGTCCCAGGTCATCTGCCTGGCTGATCTTTTTATTCCTTCAGATATTTGCCCTCAGGTCATCCTCTCGGTAATTCATTTTTCCCTGTAACTTCCTCAATAAAACTGGGACTGACTCTTTCTGGACCTTCCTTTTCTGTCTTGTGTTTTCCCCACAACAGTGTTCACTTACTGACTTACTGACTTCTTCTTTTCTCTTGTCAGCATTGCAAGCTCTGTGAGAACCAGGATTTTTGTTTAGGTGGAGATCCACTGCTTGGAACAGTGTGTGACCCACAGGAGGTGGACAGGTGTCCACAGAAGTGAGCAACAGCTGAATAAAATGTGGTCGCCTTGCTGGTGTGCTTTCTTCCCAATGTTCTCTTTGCAAAGGAGAGCGAGCTTCTCAAAAACGCCTAATCAAATGATTTCACGGATTCATTCAAAACTCCTTCGAAACCTTCCAGTTTCTCACAGGATGAAGACATACATTCTTAATGTAGCTCACGATGCCCTTTGTCTGCTTTGATATTCTGCTTGCTGCTTTATTTCCAAATCATACCAGTCTCCCTCTTGGTTGTAACATCCAAGCTACTACAGACTCTGCCCATTCTCCAGCTTCTCTGCTCACCCCGTGCCCCCTGCCAGCATCCACATCTATCACGCTGACAAAATGAAGGAGAAAACACAAGCTGTTGTCACCGTTGACCCCGGATGCTTGGGAGTCGTACTAGGACAGCCAGTTTTGTGACTCCTCATGACGCATGTATTTCCTCAGAACACATTTATTTAGTTCCTGGGCAAAGTGCTGTTTGGGTCAAGGGCTGAGAGTGAACTTCCTGTCCAGTCAAGAGTGAAGAGTCCATTTCTAACGCAGATGACCATCTCTGATACCCCAGCCACATCAGGGCCTGTGCATAGACCCCAGAGATCCCAAGAGAAGGAACAGAAGGTTCTTTGCTTTCAGAATCTTGACATATCCCTCCCTCTTCTGTCAGTGTCTCTTTCATGTTCTCCAGCTCTATTGTGACCAGCATTTAAGTTTTTCTATTATTTTTTTTCCTTCTTTTCTGCCTCTCTGCCCCTTTCTTGGGTCTTATAAATTTGATTCAAAATCTCCACAAGTGTTTTCATTTAAGGGTCACAGAAATTATTTGCTTTGATAGAAAAAAACAGTTGGGTTATAACTTTCAATTTATATGTAGCATAAGATAAGAAACAATAATGGCAATATCCTTGAATAAGAGACGTTTAAATGCTGTATTTATTCCTTTCCAATAATAGCAGAAGAGGACTGCTAAATGATGGTGGGAATGTTAATATTTACCCTTTAAAATAAAATATTATTCAAATGGAGAGTTACTTCACTTCTTTCTGCTTGTGTTCATCTCCCGAGTGAATTAAGGCTGTTAGAAGGGACTGGTTTGATATTGGCTTCAGCAAATAACATGCTTAAGATTTATGTTCTCCTGGACATCATTATTATTATCAGCAAACGCTTGTGGGCACCTATGTAGGCAGGAGACACAGCACCGGGAGCTTTTCTTCTCTCTGGTAAGACAGGGCGTATTTATAACAGAGATAGATAACAATACAGTACATTAAGTGCCAAATGAATGACATTGAAAATAAGTGTAATTGGAGTTTAAAGCCTGGAGAAGATATGGAGAGGCAATGAGGCTTCATCTGGACCTAGAGTGAAAGGCAGGTCTGGACTGAAGAGTGAGGTGGGCATGTCCAGGTCTGGGAGCCTTGTGGGCTGGAGGGTGGGACACAGGTGGCCACGGAGTGGTTGAGGAAACGGAGTTTCTTGAAAATCAAGAGTAAGTGCAAAATACAGATTGAGTCAGGAGACTCTAGACATAGCAACTGCCAGCCCTGATCTATGGTCGTCATGTAGACACACGACTGTAGACTTGATCCACTTGCACAGTGATGCAAGGAGGGAGAAACTATCTTGCAGCTCAGAAAACCGAGGCATGAAGCAGCTGGTTGTTCAAGGCCAAATGCAAAAGCAGAACTTAAAACCCAGACCATCTAGGCTTTTCCCCACGAGGCCTGTAGGTCCTCATTGGAAGGTGTTGCAACAGGGTGTGTGTATGTGTGTGTGTGTGTGTGGTGTGTGTGTGTGTGTGTGTGTGTGTGTGTACGCGTGTTCCTGTTTTCATCACAGTGGCCCACAGAGTCTTTCACCAGGACATGATAAATATTCCTAAGAAGCGCTATCCGTGCCCGTGAGGGCTGCTCTGAGGGTGGCGGGAAAGAGTGAACATGCGTGATGGGATGCAACCAGGTGGACTGGGGTAGAATTCCCAGTAGGCATGTGGTCTCTGAGTGGGTGCCGGGAGCTGGGGGCCATGGCTCCCGATTCCCATCTCAGCAGCTCTCTGGGAGGCAGGGCAGTTGGGGCTTTTGTGCACAGAGGTCTCTGTGCTGCCACAGCACAGACGGTAGTGGGAGGCACCGCATTAGAGGATGACTGCCTGAGGTCGGGATGAGAACAGAATCCAGGGGACTTGCTTGCCTTGAGGGCCCAGGAGGGGGGACAAGGTAGAAAGGGGGGACGTAAGGGTCTGGAAGGAGTGGCTGTCTGAACCATGGAGCCTATGCCAAGAGGTGTCAATCCTCGAAATGCTGAAGGATTGCCCAGGACAGTTAGTTAAGACTTTGTAGGTTTTTTTTTTTTTTTTTTTTTTTTCAAAGATTAGTTTCTTCCTTTTATTCATTGCATAAATAGGACTTAGGGACTGTTTTCCTGATATTCACCCCTAACTTTAAATCCCACATCAGAAAAGCACATGCTGGGATTAGAGTCTGCAAAGGCAAAATTTCTGTCAGCGGTCTGAGGATGGCTTTATGACAAGTCGAAAGAAACAGTTTTATTTTCCAAATGAGCTAAGTGTCTTCCAAAGATGGCCGCTGGTGGAGAATTCCAGGCCTGGACCCAGACCCCTGGCAACCAGAAACCCAGCTTTGCCCTTCACCAGCGTGAGTGAACCCAGCTTTGCCCTTCACCAGCGTGAGTGAATGAGCATCACTCAGCCTCTCTTCTCTGTACCCAGCGCTTCCATCTGAGGAAACGGAAAAGCATTTCAGCTGCCCCGTGGTGTTCTGTGGCTCACAGAAATCAATGAAACTCTTAGTAGAGTGCCAGACACAAAGTGAGCATCATTGTCTGAAGCCCTTATCATAGCCTTGATTAATCAGAGCCTCTGCCCACAGAGACTGCCCCACACGGGTCCACGTGCACACAGGGGTGGGTGGAGGCATTGTGATTGTGAACTATTCAGTGTGGGGACCAAATCTCAGCATGGTGGCGACTGAGGACCAGACAACATAGCGTCTGTGGGTGCATGCTCAAATAGTTCTCGGCCCTCACAAGGTGGTAACTTTCTCCCAGGAAGAGCTGTGAGGAGAAGTCATGGGTCTATCTGCCCATGGGAGGCTGAGATCTGAGGATCTCAGTTTGAAGCCAGCCCTGGTAGGAAAGTCCGTGAGACTCTTATCTCCAATAAACCACCAGAAAACCAGAAGTGGTGCTGTGGCTCAAATAGTAGAGTGCTAGCCTTGAGCTGATGAACGGAGGGACAGCGCTCAGGCCCAGAGTTCAAACCCCATGACTGACAAAAAATAATTTTCATCATACCTAATCTTGGAGAAGGAAACTAATGAACTCCGGAAGGGCAAGGGCCTGTTCACTCATCCATTCGTACTTTCTAAATTTACTTTGTATTTTTTGATAAGAACAGTGACACATACAGCATGTTTAGCATCTCCCATGCCCAGAAAAGTATTTACTCAGGAGAAATAAATGTCCACAATCCAACCAAACACTTTCTGCTCAAATTAATGCTTGCAATTTCAATTTATATTTGATTTGTAGAGTCAACCTCATGTTATAGATTCAGTTTATCTGTGTGTGTGTGTGTGTGTGTGTGTGTGTGTGTGCATGCGTGCGCACTGGTCCTGGGTTTGTTACTAGGAACTGGGCACCATCCATGAACTATTTTGTTCAAAGCTAGTGCTCTATCACTTAAGCTGCAGGTCCACTTCTTGCTTTTTGGTGGTTAATTGGAGTTAAGAGTCTCATGGACTTCATGTTTGGGCTGGCTTCAAACTGAGATCCTCAGATCTCAGCCTCCTGAGTTGATAGGGTTATAGGCATGAACCATTGGCACCTGGCTGAAGGTTGTATATTATTTTTCCTCTCTTTGCCTTGGTTTAACATTATTTTACATAAAATTGTCCTATACCATAATTCATATACTACTTTTTATTTTATTTTTTTGTGTGCCAGTACGGGGGCTTTAACTTAGGGCAAAGTCTAATGCTCTAGCTTTTTTTACTCAAGGCTGGTGTTCTACCATTTAAGCCATACCTCCATGTCCAGTGTTTTGCTGGTTAATTGGCTTTGACTTGTAACCCTCAGATCTCAGCCTCCTGATAGGATGATAGGTGTGAACCATCAGTGCTTGGCTCATAAATTTAAAATTTATATTTTAATGGATATATTCCATCAAATGGTGGCTTAACAAATTAACACAATGGAGTTCTTTGTTTAGCCATAAAGATCTTGTCAGTCATAAAAAATCTTGTCATTTTTAGAACTTTCAATTATTTTTTACTATTTTATTAAAGTGGAACTAAATTTCCCTCAAATTCTTCTTTTAAAAAATGACGGTATGGTGAACACTTCTTGCTGAAATCATGTCAGAGTTTTGGCTTTTCTCTTTCATCATTCTAACTATTGTTTCATTGTCTAGAGAGGGAGTTTTAAAATTTTACTATTAAAAAACCCATTAGATGAATTGGGTGAGTGATGGTGTGTGTGTGTATGTGTGTGTGTGTGTGTGTGTGTGTGTGTGTGTGTGTGTGTGTGTGTGTGTGTACTAATACAGGGGATTAAACTCAGGATCTAGGTGCTGTCCCTGAGTGCTCTTTTTCTACTCCGGGCTGGTATCCTGCTTTCTGAGTCACACTTCAACTTCTGGCTTTTTTGGGATTAATTGAAGATGCATAGACTTTTCTGCCCAGGCTAGCTTTGAACTGCAAATCTCATGCCTCAGCCTCGAGAGCTGCTATGTGTGACTGACCCATCAGGGCCTGACTTGGGTTAACCAGTTTTTGTTCCTATGATCTTTAGGATGCCACAACTCGGGAAAACTCACGGAAGAGTGAGGAGAACTGGACAGTGGGCAGACAGCCTCCAGGATTTGAGCTCACACAATCTCTGGAGGTGGATCAGAGACATTTCTTCCTTCATATACTTAAAATACATTTGTTTATAAGAAACAAAGACTAATACTTGAGTCGTTTGTGAACCCAAGTTTTCAGAGAGGAGATGGATTTCCACATATTTGGACACTTCAAGACTGGCTCAACTCCCCTCAGACCTCACTGATGAAGGTCAAGGTCCTTTGCATATTCTACCAGGGATCCTCTGTGACTTACTACCCAGCTGACAGATCAAGTTGGTGGCCTGGGTATTATAGTGAACACATATCCCTGCTTTTAGCAACTCTATTCCAGTGATATATGTAAATATATGTGTGTGTGTGTGTGTGTGTGTGTGTGTGTGTGTATGTTGTATGTTTGTGTGTGTATATGTAAAATTCTGATAGCATTTAGGAATGAAAAGATCTTGATCTTCAATTTCTATTCCAAGTTTATATATTCCATAGGAATCTATGGATACGCTATCATATATCAGGATAATTCACTGATTAATATAAAAATGAGTCTAACTACTTCAAAGCTCATCCTCATTTAATATGGTAGTGAAGGTATTTATCTGATAACAACAACAATTATATATATAGTTTATATATATTTATATATACTTATATATTTATCATTTATATACATATAGATGAGAAGCTATTACATATACACATCTATATATAGTACATGCACATAGACGAGATACCATTTCCTATTCACGTAATATGGTTTTTGGAAAGAACTTGACATGCCTCAGGAGGAATAAAATGTATCACGATTACTGGAACCCATTACCATGAGCACTCTCACCCGACAAGTGGTTTCACTGGCTTTGACACAGAGAAATGAGGTTTAAAGAAGGAAGACTCCTGTCTAATGGGAAAAAAAGAGCAAGCCACGCACACTCCAGACTTCCTAGCACGGATGGGAGAGGCCAAGGCTCCCCTGTGCTTACCTGTGGGCTTGACCAGCACGGCCAGGAAGTCGGTGCTGAGGGAGCTGACGTAGAGGAGGATGCAGGGCGCCTTGGTGGTGCTGAAGCTGAAGAGGATGTGCTCCCCGGCCAGGTCGGGGGCCGGGGGCTGCGGGTCCACGGCGTGCTCTGCTCTGCTGCCTGCGTCTCTGGCACTGACGGTAGGGGGCTGGAAGTTGTACCTCAGCCACATCCCCTCTTCAAAAAACGCGCCGACATCTGTTGAAAAGGAAAGATAAAACTGAAAACGGGGGCAAGATCTGATCGCAGCCCCCTTCCGAACTGAGGTGGACTGTGCAGCTCACCACAGCCCTGCAGTGTGCACCCAGGGCAGAACCTGCATCCAGGAAAAACGTCCATCGGGCTGCGTGGACCTCTCTGCCGGTAAACATTATGTTATCAGCACACATGCTCAATCAAAAAGAAGAATCAGCCGGTTGCTGGTGACTCACAGATTTATTTCACTTGTCTACTGGAGAATTAGAGGTCAGGAGGATGGAGGCTTGAGGCTCCTGAGGGTACAACGTTTGCAAGGCCCCATTTCAGTCAACAGTTGGGTACAATGTCCTGCGCTTTCATCCTAGCTACTATGGGAAACATGAATAGGGGATCAAAGTCCAAGTTGACTGGAACAAAAAAAAATTAAAATAAAAGCAAGACCCTATCTCAAAATTTACTAGAGCAGAAAGGAGTGGTTGACTGTGCCTGTCTGCCTAACGTGTAAAAACCTTGAGTTTGAACCCCAGTACTGCCCCCTCCAAAAAAAAATTGGCAAGCAACAGAGTGTGGAATGTATAAAATTAAGAAAACCCACAAACCCAAATTAAGAAATTTGAATCATACTAGAAACAAAATTCATGTACAGAAATCAGACCAAAAGGGCTGGGAAGGTGGCTCAGTGGTAGAGCACTTGCCTTGCATGCATGAGGCCCTGGGTTCGATTCCTCAGCACCACATAAACAGAAAAAAGCCAGAAGTGGTGCTGTGGCTCAAGTGGTAGAGTGTTAGCCTTGAGCTGAAGAGCTGAGGAACAGCGCCCAGGCCCAGATTTCAGGCCCCATGACTGGGCTCCCCCACCAAAAAAAACCCAACAAAACAAGAAATCAGACCAAAAAGTTTCTACAGTAATCAGACCACATAACCAATTTTGTGTTGAAGAGATATACCGAAAACAAGGACAGAATGGTCACATAGGCCTCTGATTTGAAGAGCTCAGAGGGCCAGCCTGAGACTGGATTTGATTCACATCTTTACTCAGGAAGGGCCTGGGTCAACCCTGAGAACTTGGGGGCTGCGTGGAAAGTTTTCAAATCTCAAGATGACAAATAAGAGAGAAGTGGGTTCAGATGAACTGCAGGCTTTACAGGGACCTCCTTGATTGACTTCTCTAGGTCTCTATACTTCATCTTGGCAGTGGAGAGTAATTAGAATCCAATCAACACTACTTATTGTTATCTTTATGCTAGAGACACGCAAAGGGAAGTCCTTCACCCTTCCCCCATCAGCTACTTCCTATAGCCTGATCAGTGCTAATGAGTTCTTCATAATTTCCTGGCAGATAAGCGATTGCCATAGGCTCCCTGTCTCCTCACCAATATCCTGAGAACACCTCGAACTCGCTGGTCTATTGTGCGGTGATGCTTCCGGTCGCCACAGCCCCTCTTCCACTGCTGTCTACACAACCCTTCCCGAAAGCATTTCTCAATCTTCCTCACCCAGGGAACCTGTTCTCCCCACACCCCCAGCACCATGCAGAATACGGTTTGCAAAGCCCGGCTCTACATCTTAACCCCTAGGGGAGGAGGTCAGTGTGGAATGGGAAGCCTTCCTCTGGGCATTTTGTCTCACTTTAGAGATCAGCACAGAGCAGAAGAGTCAGACACATGGAGATGCTCATGGCCTGGCCAAAAGCCAGCTGTGGCAACTTGGGTCAATATCTTGATCTTCTCCTACCCTCTTCCTCCTCTGAAAACTGGGGCTTCGTGGGTGGGTGTGAGGATGAAATACAGCATAGGAGACACTGAGCTTTGTGTCTGGAATATATTAGTGCTTGATCAATGATGATTAACTAAGTGTTTCAAAAACAGCATGCTAGTATCTGTCGAGGGAGACTGATGGTCTCCTGAGCCATCCACTCCTGGAGTGTTGTAGGGGTGAGGTGGCTGCTAGTGTCACTTGCACACTCGGTGTTCCAGTAGTGATCTGACATGACTGCCACATCAGCGCACTTCTCTCTGTGATGGCAGAGACTTGGCAGACTGTATTTTTTTTTTTTTTTTTGTCGGTCGTGGGGTTTGAACTCTGGGCCTGAGCGCTGTCTCTCAGGTCTTCAGCTCAAGGCGAGCACTCGACCACTTGAGCCACAGAGCCATTTCTGTTTTTTTGGTGGTTCGTGGGAGGTAAGAGTCACACGGACTTTCCCGCATGGGACAGACTGTATTTTCACTGCCATGGGAAGTGCAATTTTCTTCCAGGTCCCCTTGTCCCAAAGACTCTTGCAGATGGAAGTGTGTGGGTGTGGTCATTGAACTGATTGATGGGATACTAATGGCATCCACTGGGCAGGTGTAGAGTGTCCTGCAAAGTGTATGTGTGTGTGTGTGTGTGTGTGTGTGTCTGTCTGTCTGTCTGTCTTACACAGCTGAGGACTACCCTTCCAAAGGCATCTTTGTAAGAAAACACAGGCTTGAATGAATACTTCATCCACGGAGGTTTGCTCATGCTTACTGGAATGTGAAGATGAGTACATACAGTCCCTGACAGGGGCCTTTCTGGGCAGCAGCACGGTGCAGGTGGGGAGAGACATGTCAGCCATGAGAGAACACCATGGAAAGGGTTGACGGCGCAGGGATGGGGAAGGGCGCCCGGCCTATTCTACTGCTGGACTTTGTCATTCTTCTAGCAAGCATCTATTGAGCACCAAATGTGTGTTGCAAGCCTTGCCCCTTTTTTTCTTTGTGTGCAGGTCCTGGCGCTTAGAATTCAAGGCCTAGATGCTGTCCCTGGGCTTCCCCCGCCCCCTCCCCCCCAATGATAATGCTCTACTACTTAGGCCACAGCTCTACTTCTGGCCTTGTGGTGGTTTACTAGAGATAAGAGTCTCATAGACTTTCCTGCCCGGCCTGGCTCTAAACTGTGATCCTCAGATCTCAGCTTCCTGAGTAGCTAGGATGACAGGCGTGAGCTACCAGTGTCTAGCAATTTTTTTTTAATCTTAAGGCTTAATAAGTACAAACTGGTGATTGACATGCATTTCAGGGCTCAGGATCAGTATACAAAAGGGTCCCTGGAACAGAAGGGCACCAGCCCTATGTATAAGGTCAAGGAGGACTCCCTGCAGGAAAAGACATGGAGTCTGGCATGCAGAGACCCGGAGGTGGCAGCTGTATAAAGCGAGCCTTCCAGGGGAGGCAGCAGTGTGAGGAGCATTTCTTTACTTGTGAGGAATCCCTATGCGCCTACCTACCATTCTACTCACGCCCTTGAGACTGCTGGGATTCCCAGCCCCTCTTAGGCGGGGAGTTGGGGTGCAATGAGTGATGAGTGGGGCGCGAGTACAATGAGTGGTAGATTCGTCTCTGGGACAGACAAGACAGTCCTAGACCGGGCCTCAGGAATCCTGTCTCACAGAACAGCAAAGGTGGGCTAGGCCTCTTGGAGCAAACATACACAGGCATCCACTTAGTTATGGAGGAGGAGTCATGTGGGCGGGAAGAGGTGGACCCGGGGCTTGGGAACAGGAAGGAAGGAAAGCCAGAGGATGTGAGTGAATCAGAGGTGGGCAGACGGAGGAGCCGGGCAGTGATGACGGACATACCAGCCCCGTGAAATGCAAGGGTGAAGGCTTGGATCTGGGTGGCAGGAAGGGTCTCTGTGACAGAGGTTGATTAAGCAGCGAAAGCCACCAAAGCCCACAGGTACCTCCATGACAGACACAGTGCACCACCCTGGAGAACCTGTGCTTCCACAGGCCAGGCCCTCCCCGGGCATCTTGGGGCCAGAGCCAGAGTGGCACTCGGATGATGAGCAGAGCAGAGTCCCTGGCATTTCTCAGGCCATCTGTGCGAGTCTGATAAAAACTGGTCTGTAGGCTCAGTCCCAGGAGGTAGCTCAGAGGTTCTGATAACCAGAACCACAGGCTCACGCCCCCCCCCCCCCCCACACACACACACAGGGTGGTCACCTTGACAGAACAGGGAGCCCAAGAGTCCCTGCCAGGGTGAAACAAGCAATCATTAGCCTACCTGGAAGCAGCTAGACTAAAGGGAGCATAAAGGGATATTCAGAAATTGAATGATTTTAGACAATCCCCAAACTCACCTCAGAGAATATTATTGGTGCCTGTTGGCTATTAAAAAGCGGTAGGGGTTTAAGTCAGCTGAAGTCAGTTGTGGATGAAGGGACATACCATACATAAATGTGTCCTTCTGAAACCATGACATAAACCAGCTGTTAAACTTCGGCCAGGAGGGGTGTGAACCATCTGAAGCTCCAAGTGGCAGATTTACAGCTGTCATTTCATTGTCTCAGAGCACTTTAAGGGGCTACCAAGTAAAGATACTGTATCATTATTCTGGAAGATGCATAGCTAAAACAACAGTAACCTAATGAGCTCCCACATGACATCCTAGTCTTCATTAAATGATCAAGTATTGCTTTAGAATGTATGACTTACCTTTTCATGTGAATAAGTTTTATAATATTCACTTTGTTTAAAAGATGATAGATTTTAGATCTGAGTGTTCTAAGGTGTCTTATGAAAGATATTGATGGAATCTGGTCATATATACATGATTACATTTCTAGATTACATTTCTATAGACAGGATCTGGAAGGTGACAATGATGTTAATTGAGACACGTGGCTTTGTTTTGGTTAGTTCTTGGTCCTCAACACAGGTCATGTGTAAATTATGAATGGGGGAGGAAAAGAAGTTGGTGAATGTTTGAAAAAAAATTCTTCAATCATTTCTTCCAGAAAAATACTATAAAGGGATTTATCCCCTTGTCTAATCAGATCCCTGAGGCTTATCGTAAGAGCCTTCAAACAGCTGGAATTCACCATAATTAAATTACTCCTCATCTTCGGCATCTCAAAGTTAAGCAATTCTGTTCCTTCTGCCTTTTTACCTTGGATCTATTTTACAAGTCACATTTCTAAAGCTGACATGATTATTTTATTCCCTAATTTCCCCAAGGACCCAGAGTTGAAAATTCCCA